TAATGTAATGGCTTCCCATTGTAATGTGACAAATGAATGTTCATCCATGCTGTTGACTTCTACCTGTGCCAACAGCTTACTGCAGGGATAGCAGCTGAGCACTGTACTTGATAGCAAGCTCAAGATAGTGAGGTCAGCAATGTGGCAAAGGACAGAAAGAATCCCCGCACATTATACAACATTTTACATAGATCCTACTGAAAGCTTAAGCTGACTGTAAATTAAGACCCTTTATCTGGTATTTAAGTTAAATAGTCTTTGTAAAGTGCTTATCATGATCCTTGAATAGTTCCTTGGTCTTTAGCAAAATACAAATTTCACGAAACAAGGACAGCAGAGAGCTAAAATTTCAAATTATCTATTTTTGAGCTTCCAAATCAAGAGTGAGGGACTTTGTGTATTCTGGAAATTATTTCTGCTTAAAGAGTTTCAGGTTGAGCATCAAGCCTCAAACCATGCCAAACCTCTTGTCAGTTTGGAAAACCTTGGCCTTTATGTCCCAGTCATTGCTAAATGTATTGCTGACATTCAGCAGTCAGTGCTATTGCTATGAAGTGAAGTAAGACAGATGGAATACTTGGGTTGTCATCCTTTTTTTTTGTTTAAGGGATGGATTAAATAAATTGCTACACCTATGATAGAGCTGAAAAACTCTTTCTCTTCCCTGTGTCGCTAGAACTGTGCATGGTGTTTGCGACAACTGTGGGACTCAGGGCTGAGGGCTGTACTGGCTTTGAAAATGAGTACCTGATTTAGTACAGAAAAGTCCTGTTCTGATACAGAAAACATCCTATTCTGGCAATTAGAAACCATAGTAGACGGAACTTTATGCACGACAATAATAATTTTTGGAAATATAAGTCATGCAACTGGGTGGCATGAGTCATGTTCAAAACACTTCCCTAGTGCTGAAACCCCTGCCAGTTTTATATAGTTCATTTTACATTAAAATATAATATTGCAGAGAGACTCGGTTAGTTTTGAGTATAGAACCTAGTCATTTCCTTGAAAAAAATCAGCAGCTAGTCACACCAGTCTGATATGCTTTGCAACACTGGCAATGACCGTAGGCAACATAATTTAAGAAATAAATTTCATAAAAGAATTTGCCAATTTCTTTCTTAAGACTGTAATTAGTCAAGGAAGTTACTCACAAAGGGAGACTTCAATGCCTGGACATTTAGGTGTTCTGCAGCCCAGTGGTGTTAAAAGAAAACAAACCAGCTTCTCCCAGGCAGCGTGCAGGGAGACATATTTTTGTGGGTTCAGAAAAATCAGTCCTTCCCTGGATGCACCAGCCTTTCTTTGGGGCTCCCCATTACACTTAGCTCTCAGATAGAGGGACAGACTGGCCCTAGCTGAAGATTTACAGCCAGAATCCATTTTTTAGAAACAGGAACCTTTCTGTTTTCAAAACCATAGCAGTCTTCATCTTTTTAGACCACGGCTGAAGGAGGAAGTGCTTTTTCGGACTAAAGATTACAGCACTCACTCAAGCGATAAGCCATAGTACTTGCTGTAGCTGAGCATTGCGGAGAGTCCCTTCTGCTGTAGGGTGTTAAGAGTCTTTCATATCCTCATGTTAAAGTGGGTCCCTTTACCTGGAGTTTGTTCAATATTCATGGAGCAGAGGAAGTGTAAAGGAATGCCTCTATGGCCACATGCAATCCAAGGCTTAAGGTTGCTGTATGATACTGACAACAAAAGTGATTGCATTTGCATAGCAGGATGTTTTTCCTGGTTATTTAATATTTATGGGTCATTTTATATCTCCTAGAAGCAGAAACTTTACTAAAAGTGCACAAATCTGATTAATGAAAGTATTCACATCTGTTTAGTCAAAGTCTATAATAACTGGAAAGCACACTCAATATTTGGATTAAATTTCTCAGTTCCTTACTGTTTATATAAAAGTGGCACATCAAAAAAACGTGAATGCCATTATTTTCAGCAATGTTTTCAGACCAACAGATATTTGTGCAAGAAAGTCAGAGAAATTCTGACTGTTATGAGGACTTCTTTGGTTTTAGTGTAACAGATTTTCAGTATAAAGCCAATCGGGCAACTGTACCCTCTGCCTATGCACACCCATTTTTCCTGTTAATGAAAGTTAAACAATCCCGTATTTTTTGCTACACTTATAGGGCCTGATTCCTTATTTCACTCTTGGCAGTGAACAAATACATCAGTTCCTTGGCAAAAAGATGAAAAATGCCAAAATAAATTTTGCAGTGTGAACTGAAAGGCTCAGAATAAAAATACATCTTTCTTTTTTTAAGAGTGCCATTGGCTTACCTCTGATGCTACATCTGTAGAGGTAAGTGGCATTGCAAGCTGACCAGGCAGCTGCCTGACTGTATACTGGAATTGCAAATGAAAGCATCGCAATAAACAAAACAGATGACAACTAATAGTTTATGAATAATCCCCAGCGTGGTGTTTAGTGATGCTGTTAGCTGTCTGTCCTTCATGTAAGAATTGATCAAGATCCTGACCAGCCACAGATTCTGAGAGTCCCATAGCACTTTCCTTAAAATTAGGCTGATTTCTGTGGTTTCATTTCAATTCAGAGAAGTACACTTTCCATGATTTTTATGGCTAAACTGAGATAGAGTCTTTCCTGACAAGTACTGTGGAGATCTTTTCACACTTCAAGAGACCATTTCTTGTTCCCCTTTGGGGTTTGGATGCAAATGTGTGTTAAATTTATTACAGCCTTGTAAGAAACTTAGAGCTTCCTCCATTTATGCATCTGTGCAAGTGCCAACCAGCAAAAGGCACTTAAAGGTTTATTGTAGTCCTGAAAACTGACAATATCTGAACATTTCTAGGAAAATCTCATAGTGAGAAACAGCAACAAGGCAGGTGGCCAAGAATACATATGGCAGCGGTGACATAAACATATGGAAATTACACTTCAAATATGGTGGTGGAGGGGGTCATCTTTATTTACTAAAACAAACACCTCCTTGGATTTTAGGGGCAAAGGAATTTCTGAATGAAGGATGACTGTTGCTTGTGTGTGCCACTAAAGGTTCTGTGGAGTATAAATAAGTTGTGCTCAGCTAGGAAAAACAGATTGGGCACGGCACACCTTTAAAAAACCAACAATCTGCTAAAACTATCACTACTTCTGAGTAGTAAAGCATCTTTAATCTGTGAGGCTGTTGCTTATGTGCTGCTTTACTTTTTTGCCTGCTCATAGAAGGAGTGTGTACTTTTGTGCTGGGGCTCACAAAGGCTTACGGCTCAAACTTGATGGCTTAAATAAAGAGCTCTCAGAGGGCTGGAGAGCACAACAGCGTCCAGGCTGGGCTGCGGGTACCCTGAGCCTCAGGAATGCTGTGTGACCTCTGCCTCCTATTCAGTGGGTGAATGGAATGAGCTGGAGCCCAGGACTTATGCTGCAAGCACTTCAGTGGCTCAACCTTGTCAGCTTCATTTGCTTGACTAAGCTTCACTGAATAAAGGAAATTAAAACCTCAAGGACCTACGTTGAGATACAAACTGCATTCCTGCACTTCTGGTTGCCATCAGAATGAAACCAAAGCACAGTTTCCTTTAAAAAAGAATAAATTCTTAGCAAAATATACGGGCTCCAATTCTTCCTTGTAAGGTACAATACCTGAAGTACAATAGCTGAAGTGTAATAGCTGACTTCACTGTGAATTGGGATGTGAAGATTACCTTCCCCTCTGCCCAGTGTTCGTGTTCAGGTTTATCAGAATTTCCAGTGAAGATGTTTGCTTCTGCAGGACTGCAAGTTAAACAGAATTAAAAATCAGTGGTAGTTTTGCATGCCAAAAGAGCCAAAGTAATACGTTACAGATAATACCTCTACGTTATATTGGTCACTTCTCACAGCAGAGGAAGATGTCCCTTACCTGATGTGTCAGGGCAGGATTAGAGAACATGCTCTGTGCTTTGGCCACTCAAGTTTTAAACTATCTAAATGAGAGAGATTCTGTCATCTCCCTTAAATGACTTCTGCATTCATACTGAAAACAATCTGCTGCTACTCAGTCTAAGTTTTTCTTTGTTAAATTTTATGCCATTGTTATTGCCCTGTATTACCTACCTACATCCTTCATCTCTACTGCTGGCAGCACCGTTTTGATAGTAAAATTGCTCTTGAAAAACTGGGATTTTTGTCTGGCCTTTGAAGCTACTTACAAAGGTTGTCTAATGAATAATTATAATTTTACCAGGTGCTTTCCTAAGACACTGATTGTGTGCCTACTGAAATTAATAGCAAAAGTCCGTTGGGTACCACAGTGCAGAAACAAACCTTCGTTAAAATCAAGCCGGCCGCTATCCTAGTTATTAGAAGGATTGCATGCAGGAGCAAGATCCTGACTGCAGCTCTTTCAATAATGTACTCTCCATACTAAAAAAATAGTTACCGCCGGGATCGTTGTTACAACAATGGCAGAATTAAGCCTTACTGGTGTAAATGCTCACCCAGCTACAGGGGAAAGACATTTAGCCTGTAGATGTTGTGTCTTCAGCACAGAAGTAGGAGCTAAGATTGCTGTCAGAGGAGGCAGCTAAAGAAGACACAGATATGTTGTTTTTTTCTGCCTGTTTATTTTGGACATTTGGCAGCCCTTTGTGAACAGTTAGCATCGCTCTTCCCCGACCTTACTCTCTTTCAGAAAGCTCAGGAAGAAGGGAAACGGGTTCTCAGAAAGATACAACATGCACGTCACACCTAGAGGGGGTTCTTTAACGTACGCGCCCTGGGTTACCCGGGGTACTTCTGCCTGTCCTGTGGCACAGCACTGGACCTGCCAACCCCCCCGCGCAGGCACCCCCGGCCCTAACTCTGGCAAGGGGAGAAGGCGAGGCAGGCAGAGCTCAGCGCCCGCTTCCGCGAAGCCCAGGATGCCGCTGCTCTCACCCCCGCCCTCCCCGGCCGCGCCGCGCCGCGCCGGGGTTCCCCCCGCGCCCCCA